TTCAGGGCTTGACGATTGGTAAAGGACACCTTTTTCACAATCTATACATATTGCAACTTGACATTCCTGATTCATCTTTGTTTTTCTCTGCTTCTTTGCAACTTGATGATCAACTTTGGCACCAACGGCTCGGACACCCTTCCTCTGAAAAGTTGGTCCAATTGTCTGGTCTTTTACCTATTTCGAAAAGTAGTAAGTCTTCCGAGTCCCATTGTTCTATATGTCCATTAGCTAAACAAAAGAGATTACCGTTTGTGTCAAATAATAACATGTGTAGCAATCCCTTTGATTTGCTTCACTTAGATGTTTGGGGTCCTTTCTCTATAGAGTATGTTGAGGGTTATCGGTATTTTCTGACTATTGTTGATGATTGTACCCGTGTAACTTGGATCTTTCTAATGAAATATAAAAGTGAAGTTTCACGACATTTCTCTGTGTTCATTACTCATGTTCAAACTCAATACAATGCTAATATCAAAGCTATTAGAACTGATAATACACCTGAACTTGTCTTTTCTGATTTGATTCAACAATATGGTTTCATTCATCAATTATCCTGTGCATATACACCTCAGCAGAACTCAGTTGTTGAAAGAAAACATCAACATTTGCTAAATGTAGCGAGATCACTCCTATTTCAGTCTAAAGTTCCCTTAGTATATTGGAGCTCATGCATTATGACTGCAGTTTTTCTTATTAACCGGTTACCATCTGTTGTTCTTAAGAACAAATCACCTTATGAACTATTACTTAAGAAAGTTCCTGATTACACGTTTCTTCGCTCATTTGGTTGTTTTTGCTATGTGTCTACTCTTCTTAAAGATAGACATAAATTCAGTGCTAGGGCAGATCAATGCGTGTTTTTAGGATACTCAAAAGGATATAAGGGATATAAAGTTCTTCATCTTGATTCAAATCTGATTTCAGTGTCTCGGAATGTAGTTTTTCATGAACATACATATCCTTTTGCTACGACTTCATCTGATAATTCATCTGATAATTTGTTTCATGAATCCATTATTCCACTGCCAATTCCGGTTGCATTAGATAATCATGCATTAGACAACATGCATCATAATACATCATCTGCATCTCCTCCATTACCACAACCATCTGCATCACCGTCTCTCTCTAATCCACGGGAACACGTCTAATCCTGTTATCACAGAGACTGGCGTTATTTCACTTCCTCATGCTCGGCCAAAACGCAACACAAACGTACCCAGTTACATATCCAACTACCATTGCTCACTCACACAAACTTCTACTCCTTTCCCTTCTACACAGGTTTCGAAAACACCATATCCTATCTCTTCTGTCTTATCTTACTCAAATTTGAGTCCCCTATATCAGTCTATTGTTCTCTCACTCTCTTTGGAAACAGAACCCAAGAATTTTAAACAGGCCATGGCATCCAAAGAATGGACGGATGCATGCAACTTAGAGCTTAATTAATGCGATGGAGATTAATCACACTTGGGATGTTGAAAGCTTACCACCAGGAAAGAATGTGGTCGGCTGCAAATGGGTATTCACGATAAAATATAAGGCTGATGGCACTGTGGAAAGATGAAAAGCCCGCTTGGTTGCAAAAGGATTCACTCAACAAGAAGGGGTGGATTATTTTGATACCTTCTCGCTTGTTGCTCGTTTGGCGAGTGTCAAATTGATTCTTGCTCTTGCTGCGAAACAAGGATGGAGCCTTACTCAAATGGACATCACTAATGCTTTCTTGCATAGTGAACTTGACGAGGAGATTTTCATGAGCTTGCCTCAAGGATACACACCTGCATCAGGGTCTCTACCTCCGAATGCAGTTGTAGGCTCCGAAAATCCATTTACGGACTGAAGCAAGCATCTCGCCAATGGTACAAATGTCTTTCAAAGGTCTTAACAGATGATGGCTTTGTGGAGTCTTATGCTAATAATACACTACTAGTCAAACTCCAAGGTACATCCTTCATAGCTCTTTTGATCTATGTTGATGATATCCTAATGGTTAGTAATGATGAAAGTGCTGTAGCATCTGTTAAGTTGACACTGGCGAACCATTTTAAAACTAAGGATCTAGGACCGGCTAGATTCTTTTTGGGACTGGAGATAGCTAGAAATTCTAAGGGTATTTCAGTATCTCAACGGAAGTATTGCTTGAATCTTCTTGAAGACACTGGGTTGTTAGGATGTAAGCCTCGTTCCGTCCCAATGGATCTGAAGGTTTCTTTGAGCAAAGATACGGGTTCTCGTCTTCATGATGCTAAACCTTATCGAGAGTTGATCGGTCGATTTCAGTACTTGTGTATCACGAGGCCGGGCATTACATTTGCAGTTCACCGTCTCAGCCAGTTTCTTTCTTGTCCTACGGATATGCATCTTCAGGCTGCTCATAACATATTGCGTTATCTGAAGAATAATCCTGGACAAGGTTTGTTCTACTCAGCTTCCACGGAGTTATGCCTTAATGGCTTTGCAGATGCTGATTGGGCTACTTGCCCAGATACACGAAGGTCTGTTTCAGGGCTCTGCATTTTTCTTGGTAACTCTCTCATTACTTGGAAGTCGAAGAAACAGGAAACAGTGGCAAGGAGCAGTACTGAAGCAGAATATCGGAGTTTAGCTGTTGCTACTGGTGAACTTAAATGGTTCTATCAACTGTTGGCTGATCTGCATATACCCGTGACTACACAAACCAAACTCTTCTGTGACAGCAAATCGGCGATGCACATTGCGAATAATCCGGTGTTCCATGAGCGAACGAAACATGTCGAGGTTGATTGTCACACCACCAGAGATGAGGTAAAGAATGGTTTTTTGAAGCTGCTTCATGTCTCGACAACGAACCAGCTTGCAGATATCCTTACCAAGCCTTTACATTCTGGTCCATTTTACTCTCTCCTCAGTCGGTTATCAGTTTCAAGCCTCTACACACCTAAGGATGCATCGGCTTGAAGGGGGCGTATTAACTATATAGATCACATATGTATTACTTCGGTTTAATGTGGTTTAAGTTTCCTTTTACTTAACCACTTGTATATAAGTGTAAACAACACTTTTACAGAGAATTAATGAAAAATTAATTCCACTTCTCTCTCTAGTTAATATATAGTATGCAATAATCATGAAGTAAATCTGTGTAAACCAATTGACGAACAAAAAAACGATGATATGTAACCAATGTATTATTGGTGGCATGGCATGTAACTAGTTATTTGTCGTCATTGACAGGTAACGTGTAACATTTTATTGTTATTGATGTATCCCTCTAAAATTTCTCGGCTTTTTTGTTCATTTTGCTTTTAGTTTTTAAATCCTAGAAGGAGTTGAGCCTTTTTCATTGTATAGTTTTATAATCAGTCCCGAGTGTTGTATGAAGACATAATTTGATTTATTAAAGAATTTTACTACTTTAGACAAGAATATATTCCCACCTTCTTTTTTTTTGACATTCAGTCTCTCGTATTCATTACTTGGTTTCGTAGGAAAAACAACGATCCTTGTAACTCATTCTCCATTTCTCGATCCAATCCTGATATCACCAAAAAAAATAGAGACAGCGAATCCAACAAGTGAATGGAATGAACTTTCAAAGCATTCCTTGCAATGTAGTAAAAAATATTCAGGCAACGACCCAACAGTCAATGCCAGATCTCTATCATGGACAATTTGAAGAATGCATGGAAAGTTTATTTGGGCGAAAGATGAATCACTCGCTTACAAAACAATAAGAAAATATTATATACGTCGTCGTGACCAAAAAAATCTTGAAGAGCCTTTTTAGAAACTCACATTTGAGTAAGAGCTATATGACCTTAGTGGTTTGGTCTATCTATATGAACTAAAAAGTATGGAATTTAAGAATATTCTTGTACTATCCTTTTATATTTACAAGAATCCATCATGTGAAACCTTCCCACATACATACCCGTTCTACAAATTGAATCTGACATTTGAAGTTGTATTGTCCTTTGCTAATACTCCTAAAAAAAACTATTTGTCATTAAAAAAAGAAACAAATAATCTAAAAAAAAAAGCATGCGACTTTTTTGCAAAATGACTATTTTAAAACAAACAAAACTCTTCAATGTATAAAGAAAAATTCAACTTCCAACAAATTAAAGCTTCTAATAAGAGACAGTATTATGACTTGAACAAAGTTTTTAGGAAACATGATGCAATTTCTAAAAGCGTGGAAAGAATAATTCAAACGTTAAAAGCGATTAAGACACAGCTTTAATTATTGTCAACGCTCTCAACTCGTCATTAATTGTTTAGTAGTAGTATGTATGTATTAATGTACAATGGACAGATTGAATTTCTTATATATTCGTGGAAAGTATAGTTTTCTTAAATATGTAGTAAAAACAAAGAGCTAAAACACATCTGTTATTATATCTGATTACGTGTAAAAAAATTTGTGCCACAAAGAAAACAAAAGGATCAACCCAAAAAACTCAAAAGATGGATAAAAAGTGAGAGGAGACAAATCCTAGAAAATACAAAGACATCGAAGGTCTACAATAGTTGAAAAACTGTGGTGATGTATGTACATTAACCTAACTAACCATCTCGGTACCATGAAACAAACTGCTTACATATGGTGAGAATATTCTGTTACGTAAGCAAAAACTAAATAAAATAAATTATAGTCTCCAATATAATTTTGTAAACTAAAAAAAAAGGTTCACGAGTTTGAAAATCCCCAAGACAAAACTCAACAGGAAATAACCTTAAGATTCATATATGTATATATTTTAATAAGTTCAAAACTTGAAAACCACAAATTTGTACAGAGAGAAGAGAGACATGAAGTGTGGTGGATAATGATATTTGTAAACACTCAAGCTGTCTGTTCCTAGAGAGAGGCGTGGCCATCGTTATCTAATAAATACAACTAACTTAATTTTACAGTTCCATATTATCTCTACTTTATTTGAATAACATTTCTATCACATTAAATATTCTTCACCACCCTCTCGATTCCCAATGTAAGAGAGAGAAGAAGCAGAGAGAAGGAGAGAGAGAGCTGCTTCCAACATATCTTGTCTGGTAAAAACTCATGAACTATAAACAGAAAGAAAAGAGTTTAAACACAAAACAAAAAAGATTAAAAAAACCATTCCTTAGATTTGTGTTCCGGCAGAGTTCTTGAATTTTTTTGAACTTGTTATGTCAGTCACTTTTCACTGTCTAAAAGAGGTGAAAAAGAAAAGGTTAAGCTTCAGAAAAAAGGTGTAAGCTTTTTCTTTACTGCAAATGGGAAGAGACTGCCACAGACTCGGTGGCCACGGCGGTGAAGGCGGCGGAGTAATCTCTTCCTCTAAGTCAAAGAGAAAAGCAAATGCAGCAAATGGATGCATGGCCGCTTTTTATCACTTATTCGATTTCCAACATTTCCACTTCCCTTCCCATCATAACCTCTCCATTGATTCTCCTTCAAGATCAAAAGGTATGCTTCTTCTCTCTCACAGCATAAGTGGTCAAGTTTCAGAGATGATAACAGCAAGAGAGACTAAAAATGTTGTTGTTGTTGTTGTTGTGAAATTTGCAGGCTTGAAGGTAATAGAAGAGTCTCCACCATCAACAACCTACAAAGACAAACAAAGTTTGAGCATTCCTGTAAGTCAAAACTTTTTAAAAGAAATTTTACTTACTGATTTGTCTGATGCGTTTTATTGAGCTAATATTTGTGGTAATGACCATGAAATCGCAGGCAAGCATGCGAGTGAGAACAGAGACAGGGGCAATAAGTTCAAGACTCAGAGCTCTTGCGACCGATACTTCCACTTCTTCATCTGATATCTGTGGCTCACCAGGCAGCAAAACACCAAACTTGGTGGCTAGACTTATGGGTCTTGATCTTCTCCCTGATAAAACAGACCTTAATGATTCACCGTCAAATCTTCATACAATGACCCATTATGGATCAAGTCGTCACACAAGCCATAGAGTTTCCAAGAACGGAACACGCTTGGGGACTAGGTCTTTACCGGAGAGCCCTAGAATCTCTTCTGCTCGGAAATCGGATTTCGACAGTCATCGCCTCTCTCTTCAGCTGAACAAGGAGAATAAGCATGAAGAGTTTGGTTGTTCGAGACTGAAAGCGATGAAACAAGATCAAGACGAGAATCGGAGTCCCAGAGATTACGCGAGACAGATTGTAAAACAAATCAAAGAGAGGGTCGTCACCAGAAGAGTGGTCGGTATGGATATAACAAACTCGGTGAAGAATCGAGACGCACGACCATCACAGTACAGTAATGAGCTTAGAAGAGACACAACAGTTTCTTGCTCACCAAGAACAAGGTTTTCAGATAAAGAGAACAAACCAAGAACCAGTCAAAAACCAAACTCGTCATCCTCTTTCAGACCAGAACAAATCACACAGAAGCCGAAACCAAAGCCAACGACGGCGATCCTTGTCTCCGTGTCAAAATCCTGTGGAGAAAAACAGAACCAGAAAAAAGTAAAACAAAGGCAGCTTAGACCCATCAACCAATGCAAGAAGGCAGAGAGTGAAACAAGGTTCTCTCCACGTCCCATAAAGTCTTCTCCAAACAAGCGACGAGAGGCTCTCTTGCCTGAACCAACATACGCTAAAGCTAGCAATCCTCTACACAGAAAGAAGCTCAAGAAAACCCCAAAGTCAAGTGATCTTGTCAACATATATGCCACTGAATCAACTCAGAAACAGGTAAATCTGGTTCAAGTTTGTTTCTTTTTCATTAGGAGAATAACACAAACACTTGATAGGCACTAATCTTTTCAAGCTCTGATATATCCCATTCTCTTCTTTCTTTTCCACAGATAAACGAAACTGTAGAGGAAACACTGAAATCGAACGAAGAAGCATCGATTTGCTCCAGTTCAATTCACAAAATCGAGCAGAATAGTCGACAAGTAGACGACGCAGCCACCGTTTCTGTCTCCTCCTCCTTCACTTCAGAACGAGTCGTAATCGATTCTGAACAAGACTACGTCAGAAGAATAATGAAACTCGCGGCGAGAATCAACACTGACTCACCAATCTCCTCTGCAACCATGCTCGATTTTTCGATTTTCCGCGAAATGGAGAACACAGGAGAGAATCAGTCTGGATCATTGGCTCTTCAATGCAATCGAAAGCTTTTGTTCGACCTAGTGAACGAGATTCTGATTGAAACTGTGAAACGACGCCGTGACTATCATGAATCGGAGCTAATCGGCGAGCTCTGTTCCATTGTATCGAGATATAGCAGTAAGCGTTGTTCGATTCCAGAAGATATCGCTTTAATAGACTTTGAGCGTCTTCTAGAGAGGAAGAAGCTTGATGAGGAAGGAGAAGACGAGATCGTCGCTGAGATTGAGCGGGACATTGTAGACGCGTTCGTGCGAGAAACGGCTTCGGAATTGTGTTTTCACCGGAGACGAAGCAAAACAACGTCGGACGGAAAACTGAGTTATCAGATGATTTTTAACTAATGGGCCTATAAGATAAAAAAGTTTCTTAAACTTGGGCTTGTGACTAAGTATTAGAATAGTTTCTTTGTTTGGCCATATATTTTATTTTATTTTATTTTTTTTTTGGTCGTCAGTTTACTTTTTATTAGTAAAAGCCCATATAGAGGCAGCGTACAAAGAGTTTACAAAGCCCATTAAAAACCCTAAACAGAAAAGATCAACACGAGTAAATAACAATACACGTCATAAACACGTGTTATCTGATGATCAAACAAAGGTAAAATATGGCAGACTGAAAACTATGAACACTGCATCGCCGTCGATACTCCGCCGATGACGGTCTTGTCTCCGATAATCACCAGCAAGTGTCCAGTGCCATCTAAAGCTTTGCCTGAAAACCTTCTTTCATTCGCTGCTTTTTGCCTCCTCTGATTTAGATCTCGTGAATCAGCCGTAATTTACTTCTTCAATAGACATTACCATCGTTCATCGATAACTCAAGACATCACCCTTTGCCTTATCAAGGCTCTAAATAGGGATTTGGGGAGGTCAAACTCCCAGCCAGGAGAAGATGAAACCAGAAGTAGAAGAAGAAAATCCTAACACTTATCACCAGATCTACTCATCACCGCCTCAATTATAAGAGGAATCCATATGTAGAGGAGAAAGGGCAAGAACATCCAAACAACCAAAAATCAATTGCTCTGTCATAAAAAGATCAATGATTCCTTTAAATATAAGAAATCTTTCACTCCACTAAGGATTAGTGAAAAATTCAATTAAAAGGAATCAATAACATAAGATAGCAAAAGACTTTGACTGAAGAAAAAGAAAATCCGAAGAAATCGGAATTTATTATCCGTTAAAACGGAAGAGAAGATCCGATCTAAGTCGGAAAACAACCGGTATTAATCGGAGTATTTGCAACAAAAGTGAGAGAAAAACTCTCTCCCTCTGAAAGATAGAAATGTGAGAAGAGAGAGAGGAAAAAAACTCTCAATTCAATTTTAGTTTCTGTTTGGCCATGTATTAATTTTGTAATTCAATAGGCCATTGGTTTTTTATATTTATGATATATATGAATTATTAAAGATAACAAATATAATCATTATCGTTTTGTTTGTTTCGTAATCGTTGGTGATAGCACAATCAGAAGCAGTGAAAAGCAATATCAATCAATGATATATTTTCTTGTTTGTTTTGTAGTCGCCAGCAACAGCAATAAAATTTTGTTCGTTTATAACCGCTAAGACCACCTCCAACGCTTTAAAGGTTCTAATTCATTATTTTAATAGATTTAAGTATTTTTTTGGTTTTAGAACTTCTATTACATCCCTAACAAATTTGAACATCTAGTGGTAGGATGTAATGAGAAGTTTAAAAAAAATTGTTTTTTTAATTATAATTTTTGAAATACAAATATTTTATGAATACAAATTATTTTATTAATTTAAAATTTAAACAAACATTATATAAAACTAAATTAAACAGAAATATATAAATCATAATGTTTTTTTTTTCAGCTCAAAAATTAACTAAAGCCCCTCCTCATACCAGCGTTGGAGGTGCTCTAACCAATAGTAGCGCTCCCCGAGTCTCTTAAATAAAAATCACATTTGTGTGGAAAATCTGATTTGGACTATAAAAACCTAGACAAATTACATGGTAGTTCATTAATATACAATTTGATTATCCTTTGGTATTAGTTGGAAAACATTCAAAATTCGAGACACAAGTAGTGTGGTGGTCCATTAAATCTCATGGCACGAATTCGCTCAGAATTCATGGTATCCATTGAAAGAGGTCCACAACATATCTCGGTGGTCGGTGCATTCCTACCTATCGAAGCTGATCGGATGATCCCATAGAGTTTATTAAAATAGAAAATAATAACTATGGCGATCAACAATAGATTTTAAGAATTAACGATTTAAATTTCGTTCAGAACGGAACGCTGAAATCTGTCACTGTCGCATCAACTACAAAATGAACCAAAAATAATCGCTGAACTTTATCGGTATCGTCAACGACTATATATTGAACAAACAAAATTTAGTCGTTACTCTTGCACTCTTGCTAGTGATATATTTTCTCTAGAAAAAGGAAATGAAAGTTAAAATGGATATCGTAATTCATAGTAATCTATCTATCAAATCGACTCTAGATAAGGAAAGGAAAACGAAACTGTAAGCTAAAGCGTACATTACATCCACTAAAAAGAACATAGTAAAATTCTTAAACATTACATTGTCTGAGTTTACACATAAATCGAAAACTGAGATGATAAGTATCTATATAAATCAGGTTTAACAAAAAAGAAAGATATTATGGTCGGTTCTTCGGAAATCCGATAAATAGGTCAGTTTCCACATCCTCTTTCTCTTTGCTTCCTGTTGGCATCCCCATTGGTCTTTCTCCAATCTGACATAAGAGTGTATGTGTATAAAATATATATAAATTATCTTCTTGATCGATTTGGATTAATAAGTAGATAATATATTTATTTTTAAAAAAAAAAGAATCATGGACTCAAACCCTCGCGTATCTAATTAAGGCACTAACCATAAAACATAACATTTTTGGGCCAAAAGATTTAGCAAATGCATATGTATCGTACAATTTCTCAGTAAATAAGTTAATTTGTTTTTGTGAATAATGTAAATGGGTTCAATTTACAATGTGTTAATCAATTTGTACGTATTGACTGCTATATAGACGTCTATATATGCATACATATATATATATATAGGTAACAGTGATATGGACGACATGGTACATACCCTTGCACAAAGCCTGACTCTCTCGTCCTTGAGCTCCATCTCCTAATTTTCATAAGATGAGAGATCAATCTATATCACACGGCAAAGGACAAGAGAACCAAACAAAATCAAATTGTAATTATTCTAACCTTGGCTTTTAGTTTCTCTACCTCATCTTCATATAACTTGGCCTACCAATAATCCAACAGACAAGTAAGTGGTCATACAATACAACGAAAGAAACATCTCATTTCATTTCTTCTTTAGTTAATGCATTATATCGTCTTTTTTTGAACTTTTGATATTTCTTACTTTTCTTGATCTAACAATATGTAGGCTTTTCTCTAACTTTGTGGCTATCTCCTGAAGTTCTTTCACCGAACAAAAAGACAAACTTTGCCCCATCAGCTTCCTTACAAAACCACGTTTCCAAAATTAACACACTTCCTTTTGTAACAACTTGAAAATCAATTTTATCACCATCAGTATATATATACTGTAGTAAACACATACGGAAACTGAGATACAAACCGGTTATGAGCTTGAAGAACTTCAATTTTTTTTACCATTGTCTCCATTTCCTTCTTTATTCCCTGCATAACCAAAATGGTTGTACCAAATGTCACAAAAATCATTTGATACAGAAAAAAGGTTTGTAATTGATTGATGAATCTAAAGTAAAAACTAAAGAGAACTGGTATATCAAAAAGGAACCTGCACGTATTGCTCTATAGGTTTACTGTCCGCAACAAAGTACGCTCCCTTATACTCAGCGTATCGCTTGATTGTCTTCTTGATACTAAGAGAGTTCTCAGAGAACGCTTTCATTAGTTTGTGAGTTTTTAATTAAAGAGTGTGTGAACAATCTCTCGCATGGTTAAGCATGTCCAACCATCTATGGCTCTTCATATATAAATACTATACTAGACATGGTCTTGAATATAATTGGTAGAGATAAAACTAGACATTTATTGGATAAATATAAGCGTGTGTGAATTTTCTAGCTTCAACCCTAGCTAGATATGAATCAAAGTATCAATGATTGATGTTATGAATGTATGCAAATCATTCTAAACGGACTTTATATATGCATACATAGTGAGTCGTCCGACATTAACGAATTAGACCATATGGGAAGCATCAAATATAGAACTTGGACTCGGAACATCTGGACTCCAACTACACACTTGAAAATCATATAGACGAATTAGTTTGGACAAAAATACTCGGTTCTGTTTCTCATAATATACATGGTTTGATTTTATTTTATTTATGTTCTTAATATCAATAGTTCATCATGAATAGAATAATATGCCAATTCTTTGTGGGTTTCAGTTAGACACTTTGAGTTCCAACGTAAAATTAAGGCTCAATATTCAATAAAACGTATATCAGAAAACCCTAATTAATTCATAAGATAAACCTCAAGTTGATCTATATATATGTGGAAAAAGAATCGGAAGTTAAAACAGGAAAATAGTTTACAAAAAAAAAACTATATGAGAAATAGGCATATTTTGGGAAAATCTAACAACAGCAACTAGCAAAATCTTTTACCTGTATATACTAAGATATATCTAGACTCTATAGTACTATTTGGTCATATTCAACTACACAAGTACTTTGACAACAAATTTAACATCATAAGAAATATATTGAGAGGGTATATAGATCTTAATTAATCAAGGTAGAATTAAGAACCTTACTCGGAGTTGGCGAATTCATATAGTCTTCCTTTCTGAGAGAAGATCATAGCTGCGACTTGAGCATCACATAGAACAGAAAGCTCATGAGCCTTCTTAAAGAGACCACTCCTTCGCTTAGAAAACGTGACTTGTCTACTTGTCTTGTTCTCGATCTTCTTGATCTGGATCTTTCCTCTCACCATTTTTAGTTTCTTCCTACAAAATCAATCCAAAGATTGAGGTTTGTTAAGAGATCTATATGAAAACCCTAACTAAAAGGTGACAGATTTGGTGGGACGACTATAGCAAATAGATCACAGATATGAAACCAAAAGTCAAAACCAAGAAATGGTTTCTTGATTGAAAAACTGACCAAGAAGTTAATCAATGTGATAACTTTGAGAAAAATCTAGAAAACTAATGATAAATATTAGCTAGTTTTGTCCAGATTCCCTCATAACCCACTAAAGATAACAAATTTACACCAGAAGAAAAAAGAAAAAGCAATCAAACAAAGAAGGAATCAAATAGTGGAAAATGAAATCCGAAAACGATTAACAGAAAAAGTATCGATTTTTAACCTCTCTTGGGCTCTTAGTGGAAGAGCCACAAACCCTAAAGTCTTAATTTATTCTTAAGAATAGAATGAATCTTTCCTCTTATTGGGTGACTTTTTCTATTAGCTTACGTATAGAGATCAGCAGGAAGTGAAAAAAGGAATCTCGGCCTCTCTATGTAAAATCAACTTCTTTTTTGTAAACCGGACCGGTTCTAAAGTGGGTCAATGACTTTAGGGAATAAACACTAAATGAGTAAAAATTGGAAAACGGTCGACTTAACAATATATATTAAAAGATTTGGTCACAGAGACATTCGTTGAGATTGAAGAATTTGCGAAACATTACGAATCACATGAACAGCAATGAAGAATTGTGCTAGAACTTGGGTTACTTATAAAATAGACGACTTACCATCTTTCAAGGTGTTAAGCTCTATGCCATAATTAATACATCTCAGCTGTAATCAAGACATCAAAAACGAATTAATTTCAAGTCCAATTGGTTCATAAAACCTCCTAACATCAACTTTCATAGCTACATTATTAGAGTATTGGTCAGCTATGGTTAATTTAAATTTAAAGGAACTAACATTAGTATATAAAAGATTTGGGCCTCTCCATTTATCGTTAATTAGTTTTGAATTGAAAGTTCAAAAAACTTAATATGGTATCAGAATCATGTTTGTTGACCCAAAAAGGGTGGCCTAAAAAAAATTGTTATCAGTCCTAAAATGAGATTCAGTTCGAGATAGCTGATAAGAGTCATTATTTCGAAGAGACGTGTTAAAATCCCACATTAGAAATTTAAAAGAACTAACAGTAGTATATAATAAAAAACTTGGACCTCTTCATTTATCTTCAATTGGTTTTAAATTTGAAGCCCAGAAAACTTAATATTATTAGAGTATTGGTCAGCTATGGTTGATTTAAGCACTTTGTCAAATCTTTTGGTTGCACAAAATACCTTAAGTTCTAGAAGGCGATCAGCTGATTAAGATAATTCTAGCATAAAAACTTAGATGACTCTACATATATAGTACATGCATACCAAAATACTCCTAAAAGACGTCTACACTCAATGATAAACACAAACGGTGAAACCTGATGAAATCACAATAGTACATTGTAATCAATTTATGATATCAAAAGTGTAAGAATTATTTGGGGTCACACAAGTATAATCAATGTGTTAGGGTCATTATTTAAAGTAGTCAAAACTTATGTGGTCACTTTGATATTAAAAAAAAGACTAATGGGGCATAAGTGTTATGAAAAATTAATGTGAGGATACACTCAGTAATTTCTAATTTGATGACGGGCCGAATTAGAAATTATCTCTATATAAATAGAGAGGTTATGGTCCCCGCAGCAACCCTAACGAGAAATACAGAAAACTCTTTGCATCCCATCAACAGAGATCTACAGCCATTCAAGGTTTGTTGTGGAAGAACCATAACCAAATTCAGAGCATAAATCATGGATCCAAAAGGTACGCTTCCGCTTCTGTTCTTATTAATCAGAGACTGACATGCTATAGTGGTTTATAAGGATTTAGAAACCCCTACAATTGGTATCAGAGCCATCATTTTCAGTTTCTGTTTGATAATCAGGTTATTTTAAGAAATAAATTCGGATTTATTTTTTGCGAAAAAATTTTAGATTGTTGAATCTGATTTTTCTCAAAAGTTTATGCCTAGATTAGAATTCTGGGATCTGTGTTTATGTAATTGTTTTTCAGATCTAAATTATTGCTCATATGGTTTGTTTTTTCTGAAAATTTTAATATATATTTTCGGAATTTTGGGACCAAGATTTAGTCTTTGAAAATTTTTAAAAGTTTCATGCTCATAAAGTTTTTTTCGAAACTCTGGAAATTTTTTCGAAAATTTTTAGCAAATTTTCAGATCTGGTTTCAGTCTTGACGGCTGTAAACCCTAAGGTTGAAGACATGAGTATTTTTGTAATTCTTTAAAAGTTTGTTAATGAAACTCTGCATTTCATATAGTTAAATCGGACTGGGGCCTGGGCCCAATTTTGATTGAAGTTGCATTTAAGCCCAAGTTTCATTAACGCATCACCAGAGATTCGAACCCAGGTTGCGCTACTATGGGGAATCCCTTCCTTTTTGTCTTCAACTGTTTTGCCGCTGTAATATTCTTGCATATAGAACCCCCAGATTTTATGTTATATGTCCGCGCAAGTATATAATTAAGTTTTTTAATCAATAAATATTTTTTGATTGTGCAAGTTTAATATTTGAAGTGGATTAATTGATGCAATATGTTGCCAAAGTAACCTTTATTGTGGATATTTTTCCATGGATAATATTAAATGTTATGTGTGTATATATATTCATGCGAATTTTAAATCGACCCAAAGGTAGGTTTTGTATTCGGGCGAATAACATACATACATGTGATAATAAACACGTGATAATTATTAGGAATAAACATGTGAATGATAAATCGATCCAAAGATAGGTTTATTGTTTATCATGCATTATTGTCAGTGTTTGATTGTTACAATGAGAGTATCACTAGCAGTTAATATTACTGTCCAAAGACTTGATATTAATGTTGCACTTGATATCTTGAGATGGGTTGTACAATTGTTTATTTTTATTTATTGATTTAATTCGGTTTAGCAGTAAATTACTAATAAAGATTGTTCAATTTTGCAGCGAATTTTATTGCAGTATCTGCAAACTTAAGTTCAATTCCAACACTTACTGGTTCCAACTATAAGGAATGGAAAAGTAAAGTTAAGATTGTTTTAGGGTGTATGGATCTTGACCTTGCGTTAAGGATGGAACAACCTGTTTCTCCTACAGATACCAGCACTGCTGAGTATAAGGCAGTTCATGAGAAGTGGGAACGTTCTAATCGCATTGGTTTAATGATCATTTTGGACACCATTCCAGAAACCTTTAGAGGTAATGAGGAGATCTCTGATCTGAAATAGTTCCTTGCTGAGATGGACTTGCGTTTTGCGAGTAGCGATAAGGCAGAAATAAGTTCGCTACTGTATCGCTTTAGTACCATGAGGTATCACAGCAAAGGAAACATAAGGGAGTACATTTTGGAAATGTTCAACATTGTTTCAAAACTCAAGACTCTCAAGATTGAGCTTCCGGAAGAAGTGCTCATACATTTTGTCTTGAACTCCCTTCCTCCTCAATTCAATCAGTTGAAATCCAGTTACAACACACGTAAGGAGAAATGGGCTCTTAATGAGCTTATTTCTTATTGTGTGAATGAGGATGATAGGATGAAACAAGAAAGGTCTGAAAGTGCTCATATGGTTAACACCTCTAAGGGCCAGGGCAAAAGAAGGAAAATTGAGGTTGTTAAGAATGATGCTGCTAAGGGTCCATCTCAAAAGAAGCAGACTAAGGATGAAGATACCTGCTTCTTTTGTAAGAAAACTGGACACATGAAGAAGGACTGCCAAAAGTATCATGCTTGGCGTGGTAAGAAAGGTATGTCCCTTGCTATGGTCTGTTCTGAAGTGAACTTAATTGAAGTACCCAGAAACACTTGGTGGTTAGACTCAGGTGCAACTACTAACATCAGTGTTACATTACAGGGTTGCCTGAGCTACCGAGAACCAACTGAAGCTGAAAGACGCATTCATGTGGCTGATGGTTTTGCGGTAGATGTGGAGGCAATTAGGCATTTTAGATTGTTTTTCAGTACTGGTCAATTTTTGGATTTGAAAGACACTTTTGTTGTACCGTCTTTTAGACGGAATTTGGTTTCCGGTTCTTATTTAGACATATCTGGTTATTCTTGTCTGACTGAGCATGGAAAAGCTACTTTGTCTTTAAATTCAATTTTAATTGGAACTGATACACTTATGAAAAATCATGGTCTTTATATGCATGACGCTTTAACTTCTCATGATGAAAGTTTAAGTGTTGAATCAAGGGGTACTAAACAAAAGTTTGAAAATGCAAGTTCAGGAAATCTATGGCACAAACGCTTAGGTCACATTTCTAGAAATAGAATTGAGCGACTTGTGTCAGATGGTATATTGAGTTCTATTGACTTCACAAATTGTGACATCTGTGTGGATTGCATTAAAGGAAAACAGACTAAACAGAAGAAATTAGGTGCATATAGAGCTACGGAAGTCCTTGAGTTGATACATACAGACATTTGTGGACCATTCCCTACGGCTTCTTGGAACGGTCAACAATACTTTATATCATTCATTGATGATTATTCTCGATATGCATACTTATTTCTTATTCATGAAAAGTCAGAGTCTATAGACATGTTCAAGAAGTTTAAGGCTGAAGTTGAGAACCAACTTGAGCGAAGGATAAAGTCTGTCAGATCTGATCGTGGTGGTGAATATTACGGTCGGTATGACGGTTCAGGTGAACAACGTCCAGGACCATTTGCTAGATACCTAGAGGAGTGTGGAATTGTTCCTCAATACACTATGCCTGGGTCTCCCAGTATGAATGGTGTATCTGAGAGACGCAATCGCACTCTTAAGGACATGGTAAGGAGTATGATTTGTCATTCCACCTTGCCTGAATCACTCTGGGGAGAGGCACTAAAGACTGCAGCTTACATTCTTAATAGAGTACCAACTAAAGCAACTGCAAAGACACCTTATGAGCTTTGGACTGGTAGAAAACCTAGTCTGAAGCATTTGCACATTTGGGGATGTCCAGCTAAGGCAAGGCCTTACAGGCCATATGAAAAGAAATTGGACTCCAGAACTGTGAGCAGTTACTTTGTTGGTTATTCGGAGCGATCTAGGGGCTATAAGTTTTATGATCCCACACAGAAAATTATTTTTGAGACGGGAACAGCCACGTTCTTTGAGGATATTGATTTTGGGGGTGGAAATAAAGTTAAGGACATCGTCTTTGAGGAAGAATCGGTTCCAGTTTCTAATCCGATTCATATAGTTGCTTTTGACAATGCAAATTTGGAACCTCAAGTTGATACTGAAGTACTTCCTCCAAATGAAGATGACGATGTTATCGAACATGAAGGTCAAATTCAAGATCCTCAAGAAGTGGTGCAACAAGAACAAGTGCCTTTGCGGCGATCCACTAGAGAAAGAAGAAGCGTTATTCCGGATGATTACATAGTGTTTCTTATAGAACAAGAGGAAAATCAAACCCAGTTGGAAGATGATCCTATCAACTTCCGTGAGGCAATGGGTAGTTCCAAATCAGATAAGTGGGTTAAAGCTTCTGAAGAAGAGTATCAGTCAATGCTAGACAACAAAGTTTGGGACCTCGTAGAGTTACCAGAAGGAAAGAAACCAATTGGTTGCAAATGGAAATTTAAAACCAAATTGGACTCAAGTGGTAATGTCGAGAGGTATAAGGCTCGTCTAGTGGCTAAAGGATATACTCAGAAAGAAGGGATTGACTACACAGAAACCTTTTCTCCAGTTTCTTCAAAGGATTCTTTTAGGACAATCATGGCTCTTGTTGCACATTATGATTTAGAGCTTCATCAGATGGATGTCAAGACAGCGTTTCTCAATGGAAACATTGATGAGACGATTTATATGGAGCAACCAGAAAACTTTGTAATGGGTGATTCAAAGAAAATGGTCTGCAAACTAAAGAAATCCATCTATGGGCTAAAACAGGCTTCTCGTCAATGGTACCACAAATTTCATGAGGTAATCACCTCCTTTGGTTTTGAGGTGAATTTGGTTGAAGATTGTGTGTATCAGAATTTCAGTGGGAGTAAGTGTATTTTCTTGGTATTGTATGTTGATGACATACTTCTGGCTACCAACGATATAGGCATGTTGCATGAGACCAAGAGATTTCTTAAGGAAAATTTTGCGATGAAAGATCTTGGTGAAGCATCTTTTGTATTAGGGATCCAGATTCATCGAGATAGATCTTGAGGTATTCTTGGATTATCACAAAAGAGTTATATCGATAAAATACTCAAGAGATTTGGCATGCAGGATTGCAAACCAAGTGATACCCCAGTCGCTAAAGGAGATAAATTCTCTCTCAGTCAGTGCCCTAAAGGAAATTTGGAAATTCAGGAAATGCAAAAGATTCCTTATGCATCTGCAGTAGGAAGTCTGATGTATGCTCAGGTTTGTACGCGTCCAGATTTAGCGTACATTGTTGGAGTTTTGGGCAGATACTTAAGTAATCCAGGTTTGGACCATTGGAAAGCAGCCAAAAGGGTCATGAGGTACCTGCAAAGAACAAAGGACTTTATGCTCAAATATCAGAGATCAGATCATTTGGAGATCATTGGGTATTCTGATTCTGATTTTGCTGGATGTCAAGATAGTAAAAAGTCCACTTCAGGCTATGTATATCTGTTGGCTGGTGGAGCTATTGCATGGCGAAATGCAAAACAATCACTTGTAGCTTCCTCCACAATGGCGGCAGAATTTGTAGCAGTTTTTGAGGCATCCAATCAGGGACTTTGGATAAAAAATTTTGTCACAAGGCTGCGAATTCTTGAAGGAATTGAAAGACCACTAAAGATATATTGTGACAATAAATCAGCTGTTTTGTACTCCAACAAAAATAGGAGTGCGACAAAGTCCAAGTTTATCGAAATTAAGTTCCTGGTTGTTCAGGAGAGAGTACAAAGTGGAGAGATTTCTATAGAACACTTAGGGACAAACTCCATGATTGCTGATCCTCTTAAAAAAGGTATTCCACCCAAGGTCTTTCATGAGCATACTGCTCGAATGGGTGTTTCAGTGTTTGATGGTCATTTGGTTTAGTGGGAGTTTGTCATTTGTTTTTGGGTTCTATGTTTTGGTTGTGTTTCAGCATATTTTATTCTGATCAGAAATAAAGTTTTATAGTGTACACTTTGTGCAATTAATTTAAAGGATCTCAATAAAGAAGGACCAGTTGAAAATCGACATGTATTGATCACTTTTCATGTGATTTTCATGCTTCACTTTTCATAATTGATCTCTGTCATTTGACTATATTGATTTCAGTGACCATGGAAGGTTTAGTTATGATTGCTATAACGAAGGCCGCCATGATCTTATGTTGCTATAGTTAATGGACGTGATTGTTTATGCCCTGATATATAATGACAATTTTGAGCTCATAAAGTCTATCACATTTTCAGATACACATGTGACCCAGTGGGAGATTGTAAGAATTATTTGGGGTCACACATGTATAATCAATGTGTTAGGGTCATTATTTAAAGTAGTCAAAACTTATGTGGTCACTTTGATATTAAAGAAAAGACTAATGGGGCATAAGTGTTATGAAAAATTAATGTGAGGATACACTCAGTAATTTCTAATTTGATGACGGACCGAATTAGAAATTATCTCTATATAAATAGAGAGGTTATGGTTCCCGCAGCAACCCTAACGAGAAATACAGAAAACTCTCTGCATCCCATCAACAGAAATCTACAGCCATTCAGGGTTTGTTGTGGAAGAACCATAACCAAATTCAGAGCATAAATCATAGATCCAAAAGGTACGCTTCCGCTTCTGTTCTTATTAATCTGAGACTGACATGCTATAGTGGTTTATAAGGATTTAGAAACCCCTACAAAAAGAACCCCAAAAAGTGAAGACAATCAATATGTATAACTGATAGGTACTTAATTTTTTTTTTTTATCCTTACTCTTGAATATATATTTATATCATTTATGAGCTTCGCAATGTTATCATTGAAAAAAAGTACGATGCGGCAGTAACATCTTTGGCTAAAACTTGGAATAGAGAAACCATCATCACTTTAAAAAATGTACAAGCAAAAGTACATGTACTAAGAATATAGAATAATGATATATACTTTATTCGTACAGCCAATTTCCCATTGCATCCGTATCATATCCTTTCGGCAAATTATTGGTAAAATAAGCCAACCAATAAAAAAAAATCTGAAATAATTTCTGTAATGTTGAAAATCGTGGGTTAGAATATTGCTTTCGTTTGAATGATTAGGTTAAATATGCATCTTGATGAGTTAAAATTAAAATGTAGTAAGAGTTGATTTTCTTATTGCCAAAAGGTTGGTTATCATCGATAAAAATGAAAAAAATAGGAGGCGTCTTCGATTAGCACGTTGATATCATCGTACAGTTACGTATATCGATATCCAATAATAATAATCCACGTATACATACCACTTTCCCGGAAATCCAAGACTGAGATTTTGTATAATTGACGCATTTGCTAGAAGAATTAAACCGAAAACGATAATGTAAGTTAAGTTTGTGGGCTGAATGATGTATCTGTGTATGGGCCATTAGAAAATGCTTGCAACCTATGTTTGTGCGTTTTTGTATCTCATTTGAACGGTGTTAGTTGTTACTACCATTTTGACTCTCCGTCTACATAGGAACAAAAAAAAAGAAATGTCACGATTATTCCATAAGAAGAGAAATTAAAGTGGCAAACTTAAACATACATGTCATATTATTACCATTTTATACACATGGATGGTCAAAACACCCAAAAACTATGGAATTATAGTATACACACATCGAATCGAAGTGATTAAACTATAACCAAACTTAAGGACCATGCGAAATATGTCATAATCCAGCCACGGGCAATCCAATAAATAGTTCGGTTTCGACCTCTGCTGAATGATTGGTTCCGCAACCATCCTCAGCTTCACCTTTCTCACTATGTAAGGTTATTGGCTGCATTGGTCGCATCAACCTTTCTTTAATTTCCTGAAAATAAAGTATAAAATTGTTTTACATACTAACATCACCAAAGAGGCCAAGATATATATACCATGTATGAAATAAGATCACGAATAATTCTAATTTATTAACATTTATATATATGTATATAGAAACACTTTTTATTTCCCATCAAATATTTTTGCAAAATGCAAACTAAATTATATATGTCAAATGTAAATGGAAGGTTTTCTTCCGTTTGCATTTAGAGTTAAGTTTACAATTGACAATGGAATTAAATGCAAACTTAAATAAAAATATACTAATGCCTCACTAGTTCTCGAATCAATACATCTTCAAGTAAACCATGATTCTTTTCATAAGAAAATAGAAACTGAGCTGATGTGTAAATGAGTGTTTTAACTATGTGTATCCTGTGAATGATGAATGTATGCATGTATGTATTTACCTCTTCACGTAGCCTTCTTCTCTCGTCCAAGAGTTTTCTCTCCTAATATCCGATGATGAAAGATCCATAAAATTTCGTATGAACATACAAATTAAATCATCCCATAATTAAAATTTTCTATGTAAGTTACTAAATGAAAAATATACCTTTTCTTTTAGCTGCCTTAGTTGATCTGCAAATAAATCAGCCTACGTACAACCAATGAAGGCTTACATCAGTAGCTTTCTTATATAAAATTATCAAAACATCAAAGATAGATTCTTATATAAAAACATATATATGTGTGTGTTTTGTACCTTTTTTGATCTGACAATACGAAGGCTTTTCTCAATCTGAGTGTCTATCTCTTGAAGTTCTGCCACTGAACACGAACCCAAACCTTGCCCCATTAGCTTCCTTCATATATAGTGGCATTCACACAGTACATTTTAGGATTGAAACAAAGTATGTTTATGTATAATGCATAAAGAAACTACAGAAATAGTGAGATAAGAACCGTTGATGAAGTTCAAGGAGATCAATCTTCTTCATCATTATGTCCATTTCCTTCTTCAGCTTCTGCACACACCCAAAAAATGCCGAGTACGTATTTTTAGTATATACTATCAATTTTATTTAATTAAAGAAGAAAAAAACAAAAATACGTATACATATATATAGAAAATCAACCTGTAAGTATAGTTCTACTTGGAACCTCCCTGACACAAAGTAGCCATTAGTAAACTTGCCATATCTTTCTATTGTCTTCTCCATCCTGAAAAGGTAAATCACAACAGATGCTTCCTTGATGCTTCCTTTAACAGTGATGATATAACATTCATGAGATGGAATATTATGAGTTTAAGTGGTATGTCAAATGTATAGTAGACTAGCTAAATAGTTGAATATATATGAATCATGCATGGAATAGGAGAATCAATAATTAATAATAAAAAAATTGTGAAACAACTGAATAGTTAAAACAAAAATAAACTAATTTTTAGTAGATGAATGAAATTCATATCTAATATATTTATAGACTTAGCTAATATGTCAGCTAGATAGAAGATTAGCGTAATCAAATGATGAACTGATATCCTAAAGAATTATAAAATAATCATAAAACAATCATAAAACACTAAAAAGCTAATATAGTAGATTAATAACATTTCATTCTCTCTCGTTCATAATATATAATAGAATCATTTGTTTTTGCTGGCAGTAGTTATATAAATTTGAATTGGTTCATAGAAAGAAGTCGGAGTACAAAATTTACATAAGACATATCATATGGATATTGTAAAATAGCTTTTCAAAAACATAAAAACTGATAAATATTTTGTATGGTAAAAGATAGTAGAATCATATAGCAAAATGTGAATACTTGAAAAAATGCTATACCCATCACTATATATGCGGCAAACATTTTTTTTTTTTGTTATTTTCAAGTTTTATCAGTCTGTTCATGTGATGTGTGAACATTCTCAAATACAGAGCCTAGGTGGTACCAAGAATGCCTCAATTCATAGAATAAATAATAACTATAAATCGTGCTTATGTCTATTCTATATTTGAGAAAAACTAATAGTAGTTAACAATAGGATATTATAATGAAAAAAGATATTTTCCAATTGATTATGATTTTGTTTGTAAATGTAGAAGAAAAAAGCAAACATACATTATTTCTGGTTGAAAAGAGGTAAAGAGATGAATGTAAAAATTGAAAACAATTGATTAGGCAGATCATGTATATTACCCTAATTTCCTTTTTCCAATATTTATTACTATTTCTGAAAAAACCGTTAACTATTTTGATTAAAATTCTATTACGACTCTGAGATATTGAATCTTATAAAAAATTAGATCTTTAATATTTTCTTAAAACTATGAGCTCGTAGGCCAATGTTTCATTTTAGTACATATATAGGCACGAGCCTGCTCAAATATATATATATATATATATATATATATATATATATATAACATTATACGGATTAAATGATTATCAACTGAGAATAGATGTAAACTATAGATATCTAATTTGGATAAAATTATATGTATTGAATTCGTTTTTCTATTCACCAAATTAATCCAATGATGATTTCTGCAAAATGGTTGTTATTCCTTAAGCACGGAATGCAAACACAAAGTGACTTATAGAACGAACTATGTATCACATTTGGATTGCTGTGTACAAAATTGAATATTCATGAAAGAAAATCTAGAAGAAAAGTTTGGGATTTCCCGGAGAAAATTTTCAAATCTTTTATAATGCAGAACATATAGTGATTTTATGTTCTTACAGTGTCATTATATTGTCAGAAATTTCCTTTCAAATATTCAAAATAAGATGTCAAGTTGGTCTCAGTTTAAGTTCCAAGGTGTACGAAATTCACTGTTCAAGAAACCTCTTTTCTAAAACCCTAATCCACTTGCTCGTGCTTGGAAAAAAAAAAATATTTAGTCAAACATTTTTAGTTTGCAATTCATTGGTATCCTTAAGTTTTAGCTCATTCAAATAATTCCAGAATTATTGAAAAAAGGAAAAAATAAAATTAAAATGTCATAAAAACGCATTATTTGGGAAAAGTCAGAAACTAGCTAGCAAATAAAAAGAAAGGAAAAGAAGAGTCAAATCTTTAACGTGTATAATGCAAAATCTCTAGTACGATTTGACCAGAAAGAGATAGATATATTGACCACAGAAGTTATAGGCACTCATTTAAATTCATCTATATGTTAAGAAAGATTTTGAATTGGACAAATAGTAAATTTGGAAAAATAAATAAGATAGAAGAATCTTACTCGGAGCTAGAGAATTCGTATAATCTTCCGCTCTGAGAGAAGACAATGGCAGCGACTTGTGCATCGCATAGAACCGAAAGCTCATGAGCCTTCTTAAAGAGACCACTCCTTCGCTTCGAAAACGTGACTTGTCTGCTTGTCACGTTCTCGATCTTTTTGATCTCGATCTTTCCTCTCACCATCTTCCTGCGATACTATATAACTCCAAGATTCAGATTGAAACCCTATCTAAAGCCAGAAGACTTGCGTTGAAAAAAATTTCTTTAATTCAGACAAAACCAAGAAATGGTTTCTTGAAAACGAGAGGAGATTCAAAACTAGAAGTCAAGGTGAGGAAACTGAAGAAAATGTACGAACTGAGGCGAATCAAAACCAGATTTGTCAAGATTTGCTTCAAAAGGCCCAAAGAACATATAATTTGTTTCTAGATTGAGAATCAGCCGACAAAATTAAAATTTAGATATGGAATAGTTAGCGCTAAGAAAATAAAGAACAAAAGCATAAAATTGGTGGAATTAAAGTTAAAACCCTAGAACTATAATTTCAGAAAGAGGCATGAGCTAGATCTTATGATGCTCTGTGTTTACCTCTATGTCTTTGTACAGGAGCCACAAACCCTAAAGTCTAAAGCTTGCTTTTTTGCTCTGATTAATTGGACAGAGAAAAGGAGGAAACTGACTTTTATTTTCTTCTTTTGGTGATGCTAGTTGAATTAATAATTGATCAACATTACAACAGAGAAAATAATTATTAAAAAAAGGCAAGTGAGTCCCAGGTTATATATGATTAAAGAAATGTCCCATGACTTTATCTGTTTTTGGTAAAATTAAGAATACATAGCAGAAGGAAACAGTTAATTTACTAGAAAGAAACTCTTTAAAAAAAAAATAATTTGAGAAATATAAGGGATTAAACTATTAGAATACCAAAATAATTTGTTTATTTAGACAAGATAAGTGGGTGGAATAATAATAATATGTACAACAAAAAGATAGTGTTCTTCGATGTCGACATCATCGTACAATGACCTGCACTGTTAACTATTAATATTACGACACGTATTTTTTATCACTTTCCTAAAATCTTAGTCAGCTTCTGTAGCGACCTCGTCTTCTAAAGAACACAGATTCTTTTTTTCTCTCTCTTTTACTCGGTTATTAGTTATGTTTAGTAATATTCATCCTTTCTATTAAAAGAAAACTATAGAGTATGTGTCGAAACATCAGAAAAAGTGGAATAAAGTTACTTGTATTGTGTCCAAAATCTAAATCCGTGATAAGGGAATATGATTTATTCTTTCTTCCTTTAATTTTTGTTTTTCTGTCGTGGGACTCTCTATCAACATTGCTTGTCATTAAAAAAAAAAATGCTTGTCAGTCATGTATGCAGTTTAATTAGTGAATGAAAACACATTTTAACTGTTCTAGGAGAGCCATATATATTACTCATTCTTAATTCTGGATTCCAGTAGATGTTATAAATTAGTCTGTTTAATATTAATTGTTGATGATCAGAGCGCTCTTTGTTTTTCGGCATACATAACCATTCGTTGCGATTTGTTTTTCTTTCCATCAAATATGCTTTGACAAATATGGCTCACCTAAAACAATAAAAAATGTGTCTACATTCACTAATTAAATCCATACATGAATGAGCGAGAAGCAATGTTGATATATTTTCTTACGTTTTTGTACTTTGGATTTGGTCTGATTATATTTTCGCCCAAAACATTTATATGTATATTCTAGTCCCAAATCTAGACCAAACTAAAAATAAAACTATGTTCCCAAGTTAAATCGAACCAAAAAAATCAAATACTTTCGCCTAACTTGTGATGACAGAGGGTTTAACACGTAGATTAGAGATCAATGCGAGTAACTTGTAGCAATAGTGAAGAAAGTCTAGCAAATACCTTTTTTCCCTCGAATATATGTGTAGTCTCTTCTTTATATGAGCAAGAACTAAAGCTTCATGTTGTCTTTTTATGGATCTAAGGGATGATGGGGTCACATTGAAGTGCTTTTTGAACAAAATCAGCTTCTCCTTAACATAAATCAGTAAAATCCAGTTTTGTAGGAGTTGATGTCATTTAATTTCCCTCTGTTAAATGATTCGTTTTCTATCAAATGATAGAACCGTAATTTTTGTTTAGATTTCTTTTCTTCAATTTCTATAGTTACTTTTTAATTTTTATATATAGTTTTTCATACTAGAAAATATAAAATTGTAAAATTTGTATTTCGTATGGACCGGACTATCTCAGGTCCGGTCCGGTTCTGATTGGAAACCATCACTATAAGAGGCTTGCAACAATCTATGTGTATGATTGAACAACTGTGTGAGACTAAAAGTAAAAAATAAATTAAGCACCCTTTAATAATAAACACTTGTGTTAGATCTCTCCCTAATTTTATCTTGTTCTTCTGATAGCAAATAAACTCATGTTTATCATTCTGATGAAATTTTCTTTTCCGAATTTATGTCCAGTTCATTATGCTCTAGCTAGGTTCAGAGTTTTGATCCTGCCTTAATCAAATTTTAACCGTGACTTTTATCATTAGTTTTATTGGGCTTAATATAAAGGCTTGGGCTTCAACAAATTGGTGGGTCTGCTTCACGTCTTCGGAAAATGTATATTATTAATTTTTAACGAAACACAGAAAAAAAAATGAATTTAGTAAATTTAAATTCCCTGATACAACTTCCCCAGAAAGGTAAATTAGCGAAGATGGGAGACAATGGAGACTTGGCTTCAACAATCAAGTGGCCGAAGATCAAACCCAAACCCAATCTCAGTGTTTCATATCTGAAGAATCTCGATCTCTTCACCGTAAGTTCCTCACAAAATTCATCAACCAGATTTTGTTTAGGAAAAAAAAAAACTTCCTCAACACCAAAGCTGTAAATCCGCAATGTTGTTTATCGCTAATATCTCTGAGCTGATTCCTATTAAATCACTAATTTTTGAATCGAATTGTAAAACTCGGTTCTGTTCTGGTCTTTTTACCTTTGTTCATATCGATCTTAGGTTATACGATTCTGTTCATAAACTCTGGTTTGTGCAAAAATGAAGTTTTTTTTTTGATTGAGAAGTTTTTGACTTTTGGGTTTTGTGGTTTGATTTCAGGTGGAGAACTGTCTCACTTGCGATGAATCAAAGGGCTTTGTTAAAATCGCAGAGTCTCTCGGTTTCACTCACCAAGGAAGTCGTGGACCAGCTTACGGTGAAGCTTATAGAGATAACCATCGGATCTCAGTGAACGATCCTGTTCTTGCTGATACATTATGGCAATCAGGGATTTCAAATTTGTTTACTGATATCAAGATTAGGAGGAAAGTTGCTGTTGGGTTGAATCCAAACATTCGATTTTACAGGTTTGCATAATCTCAAGAATTCCCACTTTTGAAAGTTTGTTTCTTTACCTCCTTGTGATGGTTAGATTTTGGGAAGATGTGCAAAGATTATGTTCCTGTTTCTTGTCATGTACCTTTATGCTATTACATGGACAAGATGAGCAAAGAACATGTTCCTGTTCTTGTCATAATGTAATGCTAGAGGATCCTTTGTTAAATTTCAGGTATAGTGCTGGTCAGCATTTTGGTCGTCACATCGATGAAAGTGTTGATCTTGAAGATGGGAAGCGGACTTATTACACGTTGTTGATATATCTAAGCGGGAGCAGCACGAAACCAAAAGCCAAGAGCAATTCAAGCAAGACTAATAATTCTTCTTCTTCAGCTGAGCCTTTAGTAGGTGGAGAAACTGTCTTTTATGGTTCAAGAAACAGTATTGTAGCTGAGGTAATTCCCAAGAATTGTAATATCCCGTCTTAATTTCGTTTTTTGTACCATCAAATGAAACTTGTTTAACTATGGCAGGTAGCTCCAGTGGAAGGTATGGCTCTCTTTCACATCCATGGAGACAAGTGCCTATTGCACGAAGGAAGAAATGTCTCCAAGGGAGTCAAGTATGTGTTCCGTTCTGATGTTGTTTTTGCATGAAGAACACTGATTCAACTCCGTATTTTGTGTTTCTCACATTGATTACTCTCATACACCATTATGAACCATCGATTAAACTTATGTAGAGTTCACTATTTACCCAAATCAAGTTCATGTTTCTGCTGGTTCTGCCTTTATAACAAGCCATGACTCATTTCTCTCGATGTCATTTTGATGTTAAATCACTCACATTTGATGTCAAGTAAGTGAAAATGTCGTTGAATATAAACGGTAAGTTCACTGAAACAGAACAAATTACGGTCGATACATTTTCCGAGTTTACATTATTATAATATATCAAATATAAATGAAATCAAATTTGAAGAAAAAGAAAACTCTCATTTGCTTCCTTGTTCTCTAGACATTTGCTTCTTAATTGACAAAGCCAGACTTGACTCTCACTTCTCCCGTTTCCTTGACTCCAAAGTTTCCAAGTTTCACCATAGAAGCTGCAAACTCTCTGAAGAAAGCCTTTTGGTCTCGAGCAAAAGTCTCAACGATCCACTTAGTCCTGTAATCTCCTAGAAGCGCCTGATCAGACCCAAACACTCCTTTCCCCGACAAAATCTGCTTGTAGTAATCATTATCGAAAACCGAGGTTGTAGAGTCCAAGACCGTCCCTGCGTTCTTGCCTCGGTTAGAGGATCTCGGGCATTTCTTTTTGAGGGTTTGCGCAAATGCAAAGTTCATCGAAGGGTCAATGTCGTGGAATTTGCTGAAGTTTTGAAGACGAGCCTCGAAAGAAGAACAGTGAGAGAACCCTAGCGTGTGGCCGCCAGAGAGTGTAACCATGTCTTTCACTGACAAGCCTCTTGCTGCAAAGCTTTGGATAAGTTGAGACACGTTGAATGTTGGTGCTGGGAGATTGACTGTCTCGTTTGCCCGCGAAATCGTCCCGTCTTTTCGCCCTTTAAGTACGCTCCAGTAAGGACCACCGGACTAAGAGATGAACAATATTACGAGTTAGAAGGCAAACTACATGTAGACCATAAAGGGACTACTCTACAACGAAGACTCACCAGGGTGACCACATCTCTGGCTGCGATGGCGATTACGTCGGCACAAGACACAGTACGAGGACAAACCTTTTCGAGCTTTGTCTTAGCTTCTTCGATCACGTAGAATGATCGTACCGAGATGTTTGGAGGACCATCCTTCTCAGCTTGGTTTGACCGTGTTGAATCTAGTAGAATCGATGCGTCACATCCCTATAACAACCCAACCAAACAATTTACTCAACACTCAAAACGATCATCATCAACTTTATATCTCATTGATTAAAAAAAGAAGATGCATACCCTGATGAAGCAATCGTGGAAGAACATTCTGAGGAGACGAGCAGGCACTTTGGGATCATACAAAGTTGCATTCCTAACAGTGTCAAGAATGATTTTTTCTGCGACGGGGCACGATCGATCATAGTAATGAGCATCAAGAGCAGCTTCTGAGGGCTTAACCATCGCAAAAACCGTAAAGATCATCGTGAAAACGAGCGTCTTCGAGAAGGCCATTTTATGGTTTTGTGTGTGTGTGTGTGTGTGTTTAGGCCTCAAAAAGTACTCGTTGTTGGTGAAGTTGTTTGAGGATTTGATGAATTAGAAGAAGCGGAACTATTTGACTTATATAAGGAGAGGCATGAGAGCAAGATTTGGGAGGCTAATATTCTAGAAAATGTGTATGTGTATAACATATGCTTTAAAGCTACTCATATTATTTGGAACAAACATGCATATTTTCCGGTGTTCTAATTTTTCTCTTATAAAATTGTACTTTGAGTCTAAGCATGTACTTTGGTTAGATATGTGCAGCTGAGTTGTACAAAATCTTTATTGTTGTTGGTAACCATTAAAAGTATATATTTGACCATGAATATATATTTATCTATTATAAAATTTTAAGATTTATTGTTTCTGGTAACCATAAAAAAGTGTATATGTTTGTGGCTTGTTTGGAAATTGTAATTATTAATTTTAATTTGATCTATTCAGTAAATCTAAGGTTGTTTTTCATCAAACTTAAACAAAATTGACATTCAATTAATTTATGGCAGAAGAGATGTACCCTAAGATAGTTCAAAAATTAATTTTGTTCCAAACCTAACACAAGTTTGAAGTTAAAAATGTAGCACAAATCATTGTGTGAAAATTTTGTTTACCTTAAAGTAACTATAAATATATAAAGTTAAAACATTATATTTTGATTTCCATATTTTAATTTAAAATTAAGATTTTCTCATTTAGGAGGAATTTTTAGTCATTTTGATATTGAATTCGTGTTAGTAGTGGAACATTTGAAAAGGGTTGCTATTTTTTAGGAACCAAAACTTTTTTTTTTTTTTCATCTACCCAATTACTTCAATCACATTTGGCCAATCTGCGGAGTGGTCCGAGAATCATCTAAGACTGGCTCGTTATGATCGATTTAGGAAAAGATAACTCCTTTAACTCGAGCTCCTTTTGCAAGACTATCCGTCCGAACATTTAAACTTCTCGGAATATGGGATAAAGTGAACTCTGAGAAGCTATCGGGAAGGGTACGGAAGGAATCCAGCTCTGTCTTAAAAGACGGCCAATCCTCCGGAGATCCAGACATGCTCACGAGGTCCAAACAATCGGTCTGGAAATGCACAAATGACATCTGTTTAGGAACCAAAACTTGTTTGTGCTATTTTTGAGAACTGTTCTATTTTAGAAAACTGTATATCAATGGAAAGTATAAACTCTAGATATAAATTTCGTTGTCGTTATTGTTTTGGTCAAGAAACTTCGAGGCTTTTTGTTTTGTAACTTGTCTCTGAAATCCCATTGTAAACTCTTACTCAGGAAGACTTTAGAATATAGAATCCGAAATAGTGCCAAATAAGGGGGTGGTATTTGGTTAAACTTTCCTCAAAAATGAAATATGTGTAATGTAGACTAATTTTAGATGGTATGTGTGTGGATAGAGTAAGATTAAAAATGAATAAAGAAGTGAACTAAAAGAGAAGATGATCAAAAAAGGGTAGCTACTGTTGAGTTATGCCTATCAGTGTTTGGTTTCAATGCCTTGGCTTCGCGGTACGGTTGGTGATGGATTTATTGTACTATATTTTTGTTTGGTCTCTGCATCCTTTTTGATTTTTTTCTTCTCACGTGTACTGCACTGCTTGTATTGCAATTACGGAAAATCTAACTTAGAAAAATTCCTTTTTTCTTAACAATGACAAAAATACATTAAAATTGGATTTGCTCTAGAAAATAGGGAACAATAAAAATAAAAATGTGGCAAGAGTAGCCCAAAATGTTTTTACAAAGCCCACACTAGAATTGAAGCACTATAAGTCCAGCATAACAAACACAGTGGACACACAACAAGTAGAAACAAATTTGAATTTCATGTCCACAAGCTTCAAGATTGTTTAGAAAACGTCAATTTTGATAATTTGGTTATATGTAGTGGCTAAGTTTAAGCTGAATGAACGTGTCATGACTAGTAGTAGCCAAATGCCAGAAGAGTAAACAAGCTAGTGCACACTCCTAGAACCACGTGCCTATCAATTTGTCATCTATTCAAAAAAAGAATCTCAGTAATTAATAACTAGAATTTGCTATTTCTCATTAATTAAACCCCTAATCAAAATACTTCTGTCTTAATTCTTCTACCAACTCTTTTACAAATCTTCTGCTCAAATCATGACCTGACCTAAACAACAAGACTTAAACAACAATTAAATTTTCCTAACTCTCGGGACATGAAGAAGGCGATGAGTTGTTGTCCCCTGAGCCACCCAAAAACTGGAGCTCTTTTTTATTATCATAAATCTCCAACGAAAAATCCCTCAGCGTTTGCGTCGCACCGCCTCCACCGCTTGTTTCCATCTGCGGTTCAGCAGCGGTCGAAGCGTTTGAGACGTAACTAGGCACCGGTCTAGTAGTACCAACGTTCAGAATCGACGGAGCAGCAGAAAAGGTAGGTATGGCCCACATATGGCCCATTTGATGCGGCCCACCGGTAACGAACGCAGGAGTAGTAGCACCCATGGGCCAAAACGGCAGAAAATTCTGCGTGTTAACGTTCATGAAGTTGACGCCGAAATTTGACGCCGTTATCGGAGCTAGACCAGAAGTAACGGAGCTGTCTTGCTCGTTAACGTTGACAAACTCACTCGTGCAGTTTCTCTTCCTCCGTTTCCTCACTAGGTCACCGGAGCCGTCGTCGCTCTCATGACGCGGCGGAGAATCCGTCGGAACCTTCAGTGTTCCGTTGACAGAAACAGCGATAGCCGGGATTGTACCGGTTCCGGTTGCTTCGATTATCGCCGGTTCGGACCGTTCAAGAAGCCAGCGTATGGTTTCTCCGTCGGATTTATGGCCGAGTTCACGGGTCAATTGAAAGATCCGGGCGGCGCAACTTACGGGTATTCGGATCCTCCGACCACGACCTTCTACTTTCGTGTGACGGTCTTTAGACGGCCGTTTCTGAGCCGGTTTGGTCTGTAAGATAAGCGAATTCGTCATCGGCTGCAAAAATCCGACTTCTTGCTTCCTTAACGGGTCGTCGTCTTCTTCTTTCATGAGCATATCGGGGTGGGCTTCTGGATCCGGGTCGGATAAATTAGCCATGGTTAATTGCGAGCTACTGTTTTCGTCAATCTCTCGAATCGCTTTGCCTTCTTTATTCGATTCCATTTTCCCAAAACTTCTACGAATGGGAACGAAAGTTAGATCTCACTAACATGAAAACAAATTCAGAATCACTGAAAGAGAAATCTGCGGAAACAAAGTCTCAATTTTTTTTGTAAAGAAGAGGAATTTAGTCGATTAGTCAAGTTCTTTTTCTTTACTGATAAAAGAGATTTATCTCCAAATTTGACAGATGAAACGAAACCCTTTAAAAAGTTTGAATTTTTTGAAGATTAAAGAACAGTGGGAAAAAAAGGGGGAAAAGCTAAAAGGAAAAAAATTGAGCTAACCCTAGAAAGGTAGAAGCGTCCCCACCGCACCTTATCCTCTTCACGAACCCTACAAAGAAGGAAGGAGGGGCCCTCAAGATCCTCGTTTTATTTTTATAGTCCTATATCAAATCAACGGTGTGGATCACACCTTTACTATATCACTTGGGTAGCTCAACCAATATGGGCTTATTTTACTTATTGGGCCTTGGCCCTTATCACAATAATCTTTCTGTCCTTACAATCAAAATCATCACTTTTTAAAACCATACTAGTTAATCAATAGTTAACATTAGAGGTGTTTGAATCCGGATTTGGACTCGTTTTCTGGATTTTTTATATTCCAAGTTAAACACATTATATGATGGATAGTTTGATTAATTTTCACAAAAAATTGATTAATTTAAATTCTGGTTTTAATCAAATTGATTATATTGAATTTTACAAAGTTGAGCTTTTGATTGGTTTTTTACTTGTTTTTTCTTGTTCATTTAAGATTTGGATTTGGTTTTCTTGCATGCATATTTCAATCCAGATTTCGGTTAGATTTTATTTCTAGTTTTTCGGTTTTCTTTTTGGTGTTTTTGATTTGTGAGTGTATTCCAAGTTAAACACACTAGATCATGGATTGTTCGATAGGAAGTTTTAATTCAAAATTCAGGTTTTAACAAAATATATATCTTTAAATCATTTCTATATCATAAAAATAGACTAAGTAGGAGAAAATTTAATTTAATTTGTAGGATCAAAGATGTAGGAGCTAAGATTTTTATTGAAAGAAAAATTCGAAAGAAGTCTACTTGAAATTTCATTAATAGCTAGGACCGATTCCGATTTGAGAAGTGAAACAAAACCGAATCGACCGAAACAGAGCCTAAACTAAGCTACAAACTACACTACTTCACGGCTCTTCTGTTCAAAGGCATGAACTCCACATCTCACACTCTCCTTCTCCACAAACTCTGAATCCAAAAACCGGGCAACGAAAATCCAAAGCTTATAAACATCTTCGAAATTCGCAAGAAACCCTAACGCAGCAGTGAGAACAGAAATCCCCTGCTCGTTCTTTCTTTTCTCAAGAACTCTATCTTTCACTCCTTCGTACTCCTCTTCGAACAAGATTTTCTTCAAGAAACCTTTTCCTAGTGAGATATTGCTACAATCGGCCAGCTTCTGCACCACAAAAGGTTCGATTCTCTCTCCCTTTTGGTCGAATAGATTGAACGCAATCGCTGGTCCTCTATTGAAATTAACTTTTGGACCGTAGATTTTAACGAGCCGAATTTTAGTTGAATGTTTGAGTTTGTAGAGAGCACTTACCAACCAATTGATCAAACATCTTGATCTGTTCCCTGTTGCTCCCAACCCAAGTGAGTCCACATGATCTAGGCCTCTGAATTCCATTCTAGAACTAAAGCTATTTGTTAGTGTTTCCTCCGATTCCGTTTGTGTCCGGTTGATTTCTAACGCTTGTAATGAAATCGGATCATCGGTAGGTACGAGGTTGACCATACCTGAGCCAGTGGAAGATTCAAGAATCGGAATAGTGGATTTCTTGACGAACAAGCAACCAAATCCAGAAGGGTTTTCTCCAAACACCTTGTAGAACGAACACACCATGAAATCAGGATTATATATCGAAAGACCGAAGCTGTCCATATCTTTTGGTCCCAAACCGCAAGCATCGATCATCACATGCCACCCGTTTTCTTGAGCCACACTCATCCATAGATACGGATACCTAGATCCCGTAACCCTAGAATGAAGCGGAAAGACGAAAATACCCTTCTTATTCTTCTTATTGCCTCCGTTTTTCCCACCGGTTACCATCTTCCTCAGCTTGGACGAACAGATTCTCAGCCCTGGCCATGAGAACTCCGCTGCAGCTACTTTGGCCCCACGTTTCTCAGAGACTCTGTTGATTTCATTAACAGCCTCGCTCTCGTAGTCGTAAACCGTCAAAAGCTTCCGTTTGGAGTTAAACGGATATGACTCGGCGACGAGCCTGAAAGCAGATGTTCTATTGGCGGTGAAGACCATTGAGTAATTTTCTTCGGAGATTTTGAGAAAACCCATGATTCTTCTCTTCATCGAGTACTCAAACTCTGTTTCTTGACCTCCATCGTGGAGAAGCTTCTCCTTGAAGTTACCGATCTTGGGAGAGACACTAAAGAAGGGACTTTCAGACAAGGAAGAGGAGATCTGGTAAGTGGAAGGGTCGTAGTTGAGTAACTGCGAGTAAGAGTATAAACCAATCCCTATGTAATCAAGACACGTGTAGTGTGTTAAACTTAAGTGAAAGTAGTGGTCGGATCTGATGTGGTCGATCTTGTAAGTGTCGGAGTATTTAGGGTAAGCTTGGATGAAATCGGAGAAGGATTCTTGAAGGGAAGGGAGAGAATTTGGGTCGGTGAATTGGGTGTCCGGGAAAATGGTGGAGGCGGTGGTTTGAGCAAAATCACGGCGGAGAGTGGCGGAAGTGACGGTGGGGGTTGATTCTGGCGGATGGTCGGACGTATCGCCGCCGTGGAATGGTGTAGACGAGAAGCAACCGTGAAGGCAGTTTGGTGGTGGTGTATCTCCGGGAGATGATCGGTGCATTTTGTTTTGTTTTTTTGGTGTGAAAAAGTTGATTTGTAATTTGTCAATGGTCATGAGCCTAAGCTTGTGTTAAATAAAGCCAAAGTCTAAAGTTCTAAAGTAGCGCACCTAAGACAAAAGCTTGTTTATATATTTCGCTTATAATATTAAAAAAGGTTAAATGCAATGTGACGCCAAAAGAGGTTAAGGAAATATGTTTCTACAACGCATAGATTGACGTTTTTTTGTTCATCTATAAGTTTTTCTTTTAGTCCAAACGTGGATTTAGTATTTTTTAAAATCTTACAGTTAAAGAACATTTAAGAAAATGTAGAAACGGTAGTAAATTGGTTAAAGTTGAAATAGTTCAAGAATATTATTGAATCGCTATTTTTTTATTATTATTATTATTATTATTATTATTATTATTATTATTCATTATAATATATATTATAAACAAAGTAAAATTTTGAGTTAAAGCTCTCTGATTCAATCTTAGGGTGGCTAATTACCTTTTACCCCTACTTATGTTTTTAAAAATTAAATTTAATAAAAAAATTATTAAAAATCGTAAATTTATTAAAAAAAATATTTAAAATCGTCAATTAAATTAAAATATTAAAAATCGTATATTAATAAAAAAATTGTTAAAAATCAAAATTTAATAAAAAACATTTAAATTTAATAGAAATTATTAAAAATCAAAATTTAATCAAAACATATTTCAAATAGAAAATAACGAAAATTTAAAAATTGAAAGTTAATCAAAAAACATTTAAAATCATATCATATATCATATATATTATAATAAGCAAAGTAAAATTTTGAGTTAAAGCTCTCTTATTCAATCCCAGGGTGGCTAATTACCATTTATCTCTCTTTATATTTTTTAAAATTAAATTTAATAAAAAATTTATTAAAAATTGTAAATTAATTAAAAAAAAATTATGAAAAATCGTCGGATAGGTCGAAGACAATGAACAAAAAAAATTTAATGACCAATTGGAGAAGAAAAAAGATAATCAGAAGAAGAAATCATAAAAGAAAACCAGTAGATAGTAGAGGAAGTGAAAGAAAATAATAATAAAATAGAAGAAAACTAGAAGATGAAGAAGACAAAATAGAAAAAGGTAAATATGATAAAAAAAGGAAGACAAATCAGATGAATAAGAAGTAAAAAAAGATGAAGACAATAAAGAAGAACAATTTGAAAACAAATAACGATAAAAAAAGAACTCAAAAATTTAAGGAAAAAATTTTAAAAAGGGAAAATATAAACCATGAGAGGAATAAAAAGACAGATAAGACAAAGATCTTTAAAATATGATGAAGAATTTGGAGAGAATAAGAATAATTGGAAGAAGAGGAATAAGAATCTGTTGAAGGAGAAAAATAAAATAAAATAGAAGACAAAGTAGAAGAAGAAGAAGATAGGGAAGAGAAAAAATTGGATGAAAACCTTAAAAGATGAGGAATTGGAGAAAGTAGAAGAATAGGAAGATGATGTAAAAGCCGAAAAACACCAGAAGAATAGGAAGTCGGTGATAACAATGAAGACGATGGCAATGAAAAAGGAAAAGAAAAAAAAAGAAGAAGAAAGAGAATAATAATATATTGAAGAAGAAGAAGAAAGGGAATAAAACCTGGAAGAGAAGAAAATCAAAAGATGTATGAGAGGAGAAAGGAAAAGATGTGGAGAAGAAGAAGAAGACGTGAAAAAAAAACAGTAGAATAAAAATTAAAAAATAACATAGAAAATAAAGAAGAAAAAACAACAAAAAAAAAAAGAAAGAAAGAAGAAAATGATAGAGAAAAAAAAATAAAAGATAAAAAAAAGAAAAAGATGAATCATATTAATCTTATTTTAGTTTGTGTTTATTGATTTCATACACTTATTAGTATTGATTTTAAAGTTTTTAATATTAGACAATGATTACTTTCATAGATTAGCTTTATTTTAATTTTGTATGTATCAAATTCTTGATCTAATTATTTTTTGATTTATGACATAAAACTTTATTTTAAGTTTCAATGAAACTTTTTGACCCGCGCAAATCGCGGGCTAAAAACCTAATTTTATTTTATAAAACGTCTCAAAACTCAATGACCACTCACAAGGACTAAAATTTCGTTATATGCCATAGTTAAATTTTAAGTGTGGTGGTGTTACATAACTATATGAGATAATTGCAGTGGTATTAAAAATATGGTGTGATGGATGTTTTCTATATAATTACAGAAACTATAAGAGAAAAAAAAAGAAAAAAAAAGAAAGAAGAAAAAAGCAGACGCAAATTAGCCGGGAATAATGATTGTTGTCAAGAAAAGCCTGAAAAGGGTGCACTTTGTATTGTTTCTCCAAGTTTTCTTTTTAGAACGCGTAGATTTTAGTGGTCAAGAAAGTGTTTTGTTTTTCTCTTTTGTTTCCTTAGCTATTTACAAATCTTACATGCTAAGATATACCACTATGCTCATTTAGTAATCAAAAACAGCCAATATGTACCATCATGTCAAAAGTTATATTTGTAATTTGCATTATATATATTGTTAATGAAAATAGGGCTGAATATATATATTTTATGTATATATCATCTAAATCAGCTACATATATAAAACTACAAAAAGGCTACACAATAACATTGGTTTTTGTTCGTTTCGAGGAGTGTGTTACCATTACGTGTACTTTTGAGTTATCTAATGCCAAAAAGGGATTTTTGTGTTTTAATTACCAAAAAACATATTTTTTTTACTGTTTGGAGAAGACAAATGATTGTTTTAACAATTTTGCCTACTTATCTATATTATTTAATATTATATTAATATCACACACTCTCCATAATTGTTTGTTGTTATTTATCTATTATTTAAAAAATAATCGAATAATTATTTTGACACTATAAATTATATAATTTTTTTCTTAATACTTTGATATCCATTTTATATTTTTTAACTTAATTTTTTTTGTCGTTTAGTGATAAACACATATGTATCCATATAGTAGCATCCACATCAACAAAAATATATGGATATCTATGTAATGAAGGAAGCAATACAAAAAAATTTACACATCTTCGTTATTCCATCTTCTTCTTACAAATCATCTCAACATAATAAAAAAAAAACTATGAAATTGTTATAGCACTACAAAAAGTGTGTTTTGAATCACTTATTTTAAATATTTGCATTACTTATAATTGATGCTAGTAAATTTTACATCACTTATAAAAATAATTCTGAAAGTGGTGATACAAATATTTTATATCACTTGTCATTAATATTATATCAATTATTGTAATTGATTTTAATATGTGTCCGTTGCCAATAACTGATGTTAACTTTTGCATCAATTAATATAAATGATGTTATTATTTGTATCATTTTAGCTAACTGATGTAAATATTAAAATCAATTTTCATAAGTGATTCAAATAGTTAATTTTAAAATAACTATTTAATTAATGACAAATTTATTTTTTAAATAATTTTCGTATTTATTTTTTATTAATTATTATTTTCTTTATAACAGAATCTTTTTTTTTTGAATGAATGACAAATTTTATTCAACAAAAAAAAAAAGATTGTTCTACATATAAGAATGCGAGCTTTTAATGAAAGAAAACTATCTGTTACAGAACTTTATTCGATTTATCCTTGGAAGTGTTGAGGTCGAGATGCAAACCAAGTTTGCAGGCCTGCTTCGAAGCGACTGTCGCCTTGCAATCGTATTGAGCTGAAATGGTTTCTGATCCCTTTGTCTATAAACCTGATTAACATTCGCGAGTTTGAGGAGCTAGCCCCATGTCGACGATAATTTCTTTCCCGCCAGATTACATGAATTGTCTTCTGAAATAGGAATCTCAGAATAAAACTCTTTAAGCGATCCTGCCTCGGCTGAGTAATCTGAGTCACCACCGAGTTCCAGTCATTTGAATAATTTTGCAACATAATTTCCTTTGCCACGTTCTGCCACACCTGTTTCACAAAGGGACAGGAGAAAAACAGGTGATCCCGCGTTTCGAAATGAGCTTGACAGAGAACACACGTGCTGGGAATTTGGAGATTCCAAGCCACCATTCTGTCGCCTGTTGAGAGTCTGTTATGCATTGCTAACCAAGCAACAAACCCATATTTCGGACAGTGAAGTGTAAGCCAGATTCCTTTAGTCCACGGTAACCTTGGGGATTCAGGTCTCAACTGTTTCCGAGTTACTTTGGTGCTGAAACTGCGCTTATATGTATCGCCGGAAGTTTTCCATAGATAGATATCAAGAGTATCAGCGCTGTACTTCTGCTTGATCACGTCAATTTATCTTCAATGCTGTTCAAAACCCTGTTTCGATGTCTACGCCTCCGATGGGTTATAATGACATCGTGGACTGTATCTTCCTCTCGAATCCCCATATCAATAAACCCAATATCTATTAAGATCTCGATAAGAAACGAATTAAATTTGAAAACAAAAAAAACATCAGGATATAAATTAAAAACAAATAGTCATTTACAAAAATAAGAAAGAACAAAAAAATCATAAATCAAATCCAATTAATACACTAATAAGAAAGTTAAGAACTAAGATCACAATCAAACTATAATTTCTTCAGATTTCTTCATTCCATTGTACTATGGACATTGTTCCTTCATCTTAAAAACTTAGGTATTTTTTGTTTTCTTTACTTCATCCACTTGTAGAGTAAGGACTGTAAGTTCTTCATGACTAAATATTCTCTGAGATATGCTCGTGGTTGAAGACATCTTCATTCTACAAAATTTAGAAGATAATAATATAATTATTAAATCTCTGAAAAAAATCCTTGATAATTTTCGTTTGCATTAGAACAACCATTAGTATAAGAGAAGTGTTGGGTACCTTTATGTAATGTTTCTCCAAACCTTGTAGAAAAAAAAACAGACTTTTGAATGTTTAGTATCTGATCGATGAGTTCACCATATCTTTACCTTTTTTTTTTTTCTAATCTATCACAGTATTTTGTGAGCATAAACATCAAAATAACATAGAAAAAAA